AATTTTGTAGTACATTTCAAATTATTCGCAATGTTACTTCTTAAAAATGTGTCAAGATTGGAAAAAGTAACATTAACAATTTCAGTTATTATCTCTTAATAAACATTTCAAGCCTAAAGAATCCAATTCTGATTGCTGATATTATAAAAAAAAAAAAAATATTAATATCTCATGAAACAATAAATATGAATACCTTGATTGTGGGGAAATGAAAGTTTTTGTTTGTTGATTATAACACCATAGGCAATTTCGTATTAACGCAGCTGCACCCAAAGTAGCTGTTAATACTGTTAAATCCGCATGATCTAACGATTCTTGAATAAGCAGATGTAAGTGTTCTGAAATCATTTAGGAAGTAGTAATTTTATTGCGAAATCTATGTATTAAAATATGAAACATTGTTTGTAACACTTCTAATCTTTTTTTTTTTTTTAATAAGATAATCGTTACATCTCTAAAACATGTTCTAATATTTCATTTTTTCGAACGATGTTACAGGTTTTACCTAACAATTTCTCGGCAGTATCGACAACCAGTAAGACAAACTCCGATGGTTGAATTTTTTTTATAACTCTCTCCTCGTTTCCTATGTTTGTAGATGTTTCAGTTTCCGTTGAACTTGTTAACCCAGAATGACGTTTAAAAGCAGCTTGAAAGTCTGCTTCCCACCAAGTTACAATTTTAATAGCGGCAAATGAAGCGTGCCTTGGAAAATCGAGTTTCCCGCCACTTGTACCCGTGCAAAGTGGTTCCTTCAAGACTGTCTGCATTTCCTGTATCATGATTACATTATATGTCATGCAAGCCTACGCAGTAACATATTGGCAATATTGTTGACTGCTTTAGCAAGAAGATAAAATGAAAAAAATCACATCATTCGTACATCATTCAATATATAATTTATCAAATTGAAAGAAATATTTATATTTAAAAATCTGCATTTAGACGTATAAATAACATAGACATTTTATAACGAATATGTCAATCATATCTCTCTCTTTTCGTTTATTATTTCAACGACTTTAAAGTTGAATTAGGACACTCTATATAGAAGTACATTAAAAATAATTGAAAACATAATATTTTACACAAAAAAATCTCGACAATGTAGCATAAAATTTTTCTACATCAAAATATTAATTTTGAAAATTCAATTCGTCTTGACTAAGATACTTATAAACTAACAATACGAAATATGAATTAATTACGACAGCTTCGTACATGTGAGCATAGAAGATTACAAAATGTTTACTTATAATGTTATATAGTTTATCTTCAAAATAAATTTATTTATATAACTGCTGATGTTTTTAATATAAATTTACAATGTTTTGGTGCAATAAAGATATTATTCAATACATAAATAATATCTAAGAATAATTTTCAAATAAGTTTGTACAAAAGTTAATTGATTTATATCTCCAAAATAATAAATTAAATTTTATAACTTAAATTGATTAAACCAATTTTGCATGAATATTTCAAATATATGGTTTCCAAATAATAACCTCAGATTTGATGAAAAATTAAGCTATGAAAATTACTGTATTACAAGTAATAGTACCTGATAATATTGCATATCCCGTTGCAGCAAAATGCGTACGCGATCTACTAAATTGCCATCTTCCATAATATCCATTTTTGCTTTTTATTCAGTACTAAACAGTATTTTTAAAATTGTAAAAAATGCAGTTAATTGTAATAATCATTACAAAGATATAAATAAATATAAACCTTTAGTAATAAACAAACTTAGAAAATAATACTTAGTAACATTTAATAAATTTGCATATTGTTTATTTAAATAACAGAATATTTGTTAAATAATATATACAGCAAAATATACATTAAAATTTATTGTACATATAAAATATATTTGCATACTTTTATTTTTAATCACAATGTCAAACTTTAAAATGAATTATTTTTGTTTTTTCATCATTCTTATTTTGAACATTGCTTCCAATTTCTTGATTGTACTATGGTGAAACAAAAAAATTGACTACAATGTGTGCCATTCTACCATGCAAATATTTGATTGTGTCAATATTTTACAGAGGTATAAATACTCACATAATTATATTACAATGTATTATCTACTTTATACTATAATTTATATACAGAACTGTAAAGTTTTATATTTCCAACATAGTATATTCAGTCATTTTAATTAAAATTACAAGTTTAAGCATCCATAGATAAAGTTATAAACTCTTCAGTGCAGCTTCTCTCTCTTTACCACTAAAGGAACACTTATGGAAGTTTACTTGGTCCCTTATAATTGCTGGTATTTCATCATTAAGTAGCTCGTGCAATGTTTTTCCATCATGTTTATAAATCCATTTACCATTTATAAAATCATATCGCTTTGGACCTGACTTTGGTGAAGATAACCAGATCTGTTTATTTGGAGTTTGACGATTTATTACATAAGTACCATACAGATTACCAAATTTAATAGTTAAAACTCCATCCTGCAATATTAATTATGAAATTGATATCTATAAATTACAAGTGTGCAATATTTTGTTAATCATAACATATTAATATAAATTGCATTGATAAAACATACCCCATATGATACATCTGCATCTAATAAATGTGCTGCCTTTTCTATTAGTTCATCAAAATATTCACATAAGGATTCAAGAGTTTCATCAGAAACTTTCTCAAATTGTACTGGAGTAAGTTCCCTACAAAAGAAAATATTTTTTTATATTATTTTCACTTTGCTGTTTATTATTAATATACACTATTCTTTTCAAAATTATATAAGAAGGTATAAGTGGTATATTATCATAAATATAAATACTTTGTTTATCTATATTATTTGTAATTTATTATATAAACTTTTCTTGTATAGCATATTCTCTCAACTGTTGAATTAGAACTAATAAATATTAGGCAAAGTCTTTAACAAGAGAAACTTAATTTATCTTAAACTATTATGGGAATATAGAACAAATAATTTGCCATTATTACTGTCACAATTTTATATTATATTTTTGTGTTTCTTACTACTCTTATAACTATAAAAATTAAAGCACAATTAGGACAATATTAATTGTCTAACATCTACTTACAATGTATTTGAAAATCCTGTACTATCACTAGAGCTAAAATGTTTCACTAACTTGTAATTTAACGTTTTAACATTATTGTTTTCATTTAAATATTGTTTGAAATGAAAAGCAGGATAACCTATATTCCTTCGGCATTTTACACTAATTTCGCGTACTAAACATCTATTTACAATGTTTAATATTGTATCATAAGATAGAATTGTAAAAACACTATTTCTTGTTACGTTTCTAGTTAGTAACATGATAGCAATTTTTTATATATCTTATATTGATCAAACAAAATATTGTAAGGACATCGCCACACAAGTCGTCTGCGCAAAACATGGTTATAAATTGTATATGTCGCCATATTTTCATTGTGCATATATATAGGATTGCAGTGGTCACTAGCGCCAAATACAAATGCAATAAATGAAGTAGTACAGTTTTCAATCATGTTTTTTTGTAAAAATGTATAAATTTCTGCATCATTTTCAAATTAAATAATATTTTACTTTTAGATTTATTAACATTTTCAAGAATAATGTAATTGCGCTGTAGAAAAAATTATTCTCAGTATATATCTCATCACAGTATATATTTAATTTTTAAATTTCATCTTTATAAATCTATCTACAATTAGTTATATTATATTTATTAAACATTTAGTAACAAACTATTTTAATTACAATTCATATTCAACGAAGCAAAAGATATTGTTATATCTATAGATATGTACATATAATTATATCAATTATAAATGTAAATTGAATTAATTCTTTACTGTTATCAATATCTCACAAATAAAACGAGAGATCGTAAAATTGCACGATAGAGGTTGCATGGTTACAAGGGTTACATAATTTGTAAACACTGATTTTTTTAGATCTTGTTGCCATTCTATTATTTTTGTTTTTTTAATGAAATATT